AACTTGAGAACAAGGTGACGTAGGATTTTGAATCCTACCAGGGCTACCAGCCAGCCCACTCAGGCTGTGCAGGTAGTCCTGCTCCTCTGTGATGGCACATCCACATCCAAGTGTCATCAGAAGTAGGTTTGCTGTGTCTCTCAGCCCAGCAGCACAGGTATCATCTTCTTTGTGCAAGGAGGAACAAGAAGAGCACAACTCAAGGTCCAGTAGTGACCTCTAACTCATGTGCATGCTTCTAAAACATCCAGGGTCCATCTATCTTCTGATTGATGGACCTTGAAGAGACAGGAGATAAAACAGCTTGTTTCATGGAGATGATGAATTAAGGAACTTAAAGATTTTTTTAAAATCTTTTTTTTTTATCGTGTTATTATGCAAAGCTGCTCTGATGCACTCCCACAATAAAAATACTAAACTCAAACTGAGTAGAATGGGTCGCCTTTAAAAACAAAATCAATTTATACTTGCACACTTTTAATTATGAGGTTTTTTTACAGTGGTGTCAGATCAGATTTAAGAGACTGTATGTCATGATCACTCTTCAGCAGTGACACTTCCCTTTTCTGTCCTCTTCTGAAGTTTATCGACAGGTTCACTGACAGTCTACGGCCCGAGTGAGACACAGCGTGGTTCAGCCCTGCTAATATTTATCCAGACAGTGTGTGATAAAGCAGGTGCGGCGGGGTGGAGCGGGACAGTGACGGAGTTTTATTGATCGTAACAGGGCCACGTGGTCTCAGGTGTGTCCCAGCAGGAAGTGACCTCCCTGTGGAGGGAGGGGGTGATGGTGGCCAGAGAAATCGGGGCCTTGACGGGTTAGATTGTCTAAACAAGCTGCTATGGTGATGCTGAGCGAGTCGTCACACTCATTCAGCAGTCATCCATGAGTCAGCCTTTCTGATCCTGACAGTTTTAATCTTCCCTGCATGAACAGAAACAGGCACATTCATCGTTACCACAGACGGTCACAGCTGGAGCAGGATCAGCAGGAAACCCTCCTGGAGAACCAGGATTCAGGGAGGATTCAGGGTTACCTATATTATGCTGCAATAGGTCTAAGGTGCTGGAAGATTCCCATGATGCACTGGGTGTTTCTTCTTCACTCACTATGTGTTAACCCTTTAAGACCTACCATAGAACCAAGTCCGCCAGAGCTTATATTATATTTTTATATGCTGTGGAGCCATTTTTGGGAGCATTTCAAGTTGCTATACATCAATACAACCATTATAGCCCAGATTTTAATAATATGTATTCATTAAGTGCATAGTAATTACATAAATTGCAAAAAAGTGCAATAAACTACAAAAAAAATTGAAAATCGTTTTTGCTTTTTTAACATATATTTGTAGTTAGAGAAATTTAAGAGGCTTATCCCTCAAAACTGTAAATACAAAAAAGTTGCACAAAATAGTTTCCCACCACAGGAAATTTATTTTGAGTGTCTTCATAGTTTTATTTTTGAAATACACCAATTTTTATACACTGCAGGAAAAACGAAAATAAATATTATACTGCAAATTTGCAAAAAAGCAGCATATGCATCAAAATAAACTATTTCCAGCAGTGCAATATGAGTCCTAAGCATCCCAGAAACGACACAGAAAGTCATAAAGTCAAAGATAACTTTTAAAAAGACCAGTATAGGCTCTGAGGGCCTGATAGTAAAAAAGACTACATTTCCCGAAAATGACGTCACTTCCGGTTTCGGGCAGGTAATGGCGGAAATGCAAAAGTTCGCGCTGACGTCTATTCCAACGTAGGAAGTGTTATGAACAGCTGATCGGATCGGCAAAGCGTTTCTGGAATATTATGTTTTTGTTCCTGCAAGCGCTTTTTATGCAGTTTTTGCAAAGCTTTATGTGGAAGGAAACTGTGACCTAGGACAAGCTGATGGCATCAGATGTGAGTACAACTCCTCCGGTTTCATATGCAAAACAAATTTTTGCGCTAGCTTATGTGGTTGCAGTGCTACTGGGATTTAAAAATAGTTACGCAAAACAGAGCGTGCCCGCTCCGATCGGCTGTAAAGGGTTAATAGACCTCTGCACTGAATCATACCTGTTATTAATCTCTGTCTCTCTTCCTTCTCTCACCCCAACCAATCACAGCAGATGGCCCCGCCCCTCCCTGAGCCTGGTTCTGCTGGAGGTTTCTTCCTGTTAAAAGGGAGTTTTTCCTTCCCACTGTCGCCAAAGTGCTGCTCATAGGGGGTCATATGATTGTTGGGTTTTTCTCTGTATGTTATTTTAGGGTCTACCTTAGAATATAAAGCACCTTGAGGCGACTGTTGTTGCGATTTGGTGCTGCGTAAATAAAATTGAATTGACTTGAAATTGAAAATATCTGATGCAGGAGTGCAGACAAAACAAAATGAATTAACTGTTGAGAAATTACATTTTTATCCCTCAGAGTCTCAAATGTAATTGGACAAACTAACATCATTGTTTTTGCCCTGCATTTCTTTCCTTTGAGAAATTCTTGGGTTGTTTTTGCAGTTTTCTTTGACTCCTCGTCAGTTTGCATATGAAGCTCTGTCTGATCATCTTTGCAGCATTTGTCTGAGTCTGAGCAGAGACTACAGCCCGTAGATTTCACAGCTCATCAGTGACCCACTGCAGCCACACACGCTCATGCCACAACAATACCTCCACCATGTTAGACACATGATATGGATGCTTCTAGATCATGAGGTGTTTCTCTCCTTCTGCATACTTTTCTCTTCTCATTATCCTGGTAAAAGTTCATCTTGGTTTCCTCCACCAAACAATTTTTTTTTCAGCGCTGTGTTGGCTCTTCTAGATTTTTTCGACTTCCTGTTCTTGGGTGTAATCCGTGGCTTGCACCTCGTTATAAACTCTTGATTGTAGACCTCGTTAATGACACCACAGTAACACCTGAAAAGAAGCTAAAGTTTTATCTTCCTTTTTATCTGCTTCTCTTTTATAAAAAGCTTTTATGTGAGAAAAGTTAATAAAAGAAAAAACAGACACAAAGCCCACAGAGCTTCATGCTGTAAGCAGTTTCACAGTCTGTGGTCGATCCTTTTAGTTTATCCCTTTCTGTTGAAATCTGTATGGCTTGTAATTTTGTGCATAGCACAGGCAGGTTGACCTGCACCGTGATGACACCACCCTCGGCTTTCTCCACAGCTGCTGGATAAAATCCAGACTCAAAGCCATGAGTCAGTGCTTGATTGGGAAACCCTGGGAAGATTTACTGAACCACCCTGATGATCCTGACAATGTTGTTGGGATGTGACAAGTCAGATAAGAAAAAGATATCCTGGGAATGCTGGACTGGATTCATGGTACAGGGTTTGGCTTCTGTGTATTGGGGCTATAAAAACGAGGTGTGCAGTATGGGGTCATGAGTGAGATTAGCTTCTCTGAATAAGTTGTGCAAAAGATTTCTTTCTTTAAAGGTTTCATACCGCTGCATGCGTTTTATCTACAGTAATCTGTGCAGGTGTAAAACTCCCCTTTTTTTGGCTGCAGATATATTTTGTTTGGATAAACAACGTCTCTGAATATTACTTGTTCTAGAAAAATGTAAACATGTGATTCCTCCTTTGAAAGCTGTTCTCTAAAAGTGAAGAGTCCTGATGAAGGGTGTTTACTTGCTGGGAGGTGAGGAGCTTTACACAGTGGTGTAATGCAGAGGAATGCGAGCTGAGTTCAAGCTGCCCTCGAAGGGACGAGCTGAACTCTGAGGGGCAGAAAAAGAAAATGAGGACTGTCTGCGTGGCGCTGATAACACAATCAGAAACTCAATGTCGTCAGAGATATGAGAGCTGAGAAACGAGAGCCAGGTCTGCTCCGTGTGTGGAACTGAGGACGACGCAGATCATCCACAAGAGGGCAGCAAAGGCCCAGTTCACCCGAGTCCACTGCACAGCATAAAGGCTCATTGTGTGACTGTTATTACACTTCATGACACAACACAAAGAAAAATGAAGCAAACAGGATGAAATTTTTATGATGCAGCAGAACTGAAGGTCAAACATCTGCCGGGTGCAGGAAAGGAGACAAGGGAAGGACAGAAGAGAAGATTACATTAAAAACAGAATGGAGACGGGAAAAGCAAAAGAAGCAGAGAAGAAGGAAGGAAGGACAGAAAAATGTCCGACCCTTATTTAAGGTGCACTCTGAGATGGCGCTCAGGTATCTGCAGTGCCTCATCCGATCCTCTGTTTTGCTGACACTGGACTTAACCTCGTTAGCAGCTAATCCTCAGGGCCACATTAACAGCTTTAACACGGAGTCGCCACAGTGTGCTGCAGCCCAGAGCTGTAAACAAGCTCCAGAACCAAAACCAGGCCCTTACCAAACCACCTTTATCCAAACCAGAGACAAAAAAAGGCAGTGAAACGTCCACGGCTCTGAGGACAAACGAGGCCTCTGACTTGTGGAATCAAACCTGTAAATTAGAGTTATTAACAGCTTTATTACAACAAGTCAGCGACAGTGATGGTACTGAACTTGACATGTTAGTCACCGTTGGACCTGGAAGCTTTTTCCCTGACGTAGATTCAGTCATATGGAGCAGGTGGGATTCTAATAACAGAGAAATAAATCAGTGGATCGTTTCATTAAAAACAGAACCTCAAAAGAAAGCTTTTTCATTTTCTGCCCCTTGTCCTTTGCCCAAAACACCTCAACTAGGAGTCATTCAGGACGTGTCCCAGTCAGATGGTCAAGCCGCCTTAACTGGCTCCTTTCGATATAGAGGAGTAGCAGGTCTGCACCTCCTCAGCTCTCTAAGCCCAGAGGAAGCTTGTTTCTCGTGGCCATAGGTGAGGCAGGAACATAGACTGATCATCCCCAGTCCCATCGGCACCTCGGACTCTTTGTTGCCCTTTGTTGTCGGAAGATTGTTTTTCAGTTATTTATTTGGTGTCCGATTGCTGGATAGATCTGAACTTTATTGATAAACCATTGTGGTTTGGTTTGAGGACTGTGGTTCCCTTCATGGTTCAGCTTCTGAAAGTGTAACCTGATTCCATGTCTTGCCCTGCTCTGCCTTTCATCGGCTTAGTAATCTTGTTAGCAGAGTTCCTGCGTAATCCTCCCACAGTGTTCAGATCCCTGCAGGTCTACACGGCTTCTTCCCCGCAGCTCTGTGGGATGCTGCTGGACCCCAACTGAGCAACTCAGGTAGGACAAGAGACGCCCAACACTTTGACCACTGACACCTCCATGGATGCTACGTAGCTTTGAGAACAATGAAATAAAGTCGATTAGGTGCCGTGTTTTGCTTACAGTTCAGGTGCATGCCCTGGTTTCGAATGATAGTAGCTGGTGATTTGTACTCTTTAAATTTGTTTATACTTATAGTTCAATTTGAGCTTCCTGAACCAACGAATCAGGGCAGGAGACACAAGGCTGAACCATAACTATTGTTTTCTTCTTGGTCTGTGGTTTTATCAGGTCCTGTAAATTTGATAAACTTGATTGCTGCTGATGCCGTGAACTTCTGCTAACACACACTCATTTGTTTGATATTGATCCCCAGTTTTGGGTCTTGTGGAGGTCTAACTGAGGCAGAGATTAATTAAACGGGGTTTCTGTTGAATTTTCAAAAGATGTTTTTCTTTTTTAACATTTTAGCATAAGCATCAACAGGAGAGCTCCCAAAGTTGCAAAATTGAACCGGGTGAGGGGTATATTTAAGTAACTTTGAGCACATGAAGTCAAAATGGTTTAAAACTCCGAGTCATGTCTGCTGTAAACTCACCAGAGGTGCTCTTCTGAGAGTTTTTCTTTACCTGAACTGAAGCTGGAGGGTGTTGGTGACTCTGAAATCCTTTGAGAGCAATTTGTAATTTGGGATGACAGAGTTAAAACTGACTTAAATAATGAGCTGCAGTGTGTGGAAACAAAAATCGAATCTTTTAGTAAAAAGTGGCACTACAATAATTTTAAAATCCAAAAAATCAGCCTATATTAAAAATATATTTGTGTGAAAGTATTAATCAACCCAAAATATAAAGTGCAAAAGTAAAAATATCATTTATGCACTAATTCAATGTGTAAGTGTTCTGTTTTTAAATATTACACTCCTGAAATATAATAATGTCTTTTTATATGGTTAGTTGGTTTGTGTAACGCATCATTATGAAACAAAAGGTAGAATATTTACCTCATAAATAAGGACGTGATGATGCATAAAGAAGCATAAAATGAAAGTAACTTAAAAAATATACTTAGTTACTTTACAGGATGAAAACAATGGTCCAGATTAGTTTTGATAAATCTGGTTTAACCTGAGGGTTCGATCAGTTAGGAAGCTCTCTCTTTTGGCAGTTATCTGAAAGTCTAAAAAGAATAACCAGTCAATTCGAAAAGCTCTACTGCTTTCCTAAACCAGCTGATTCGCTCACCTGGCGAAAGAGCCAACTAGCTTAGCAGCTACTTTATAGACAAAAACAAAAAGTGAGAGAGACACAGACACCATGAAGACACAGACAGATGAATCCTTAAGTTTTACTTTTTAAAACTAGACTTGCGTATATTTAAAAAAAAAAAAAAAAAACCATGGTGAGTCTGTGATGTTATCTGCTAATACAACCCGGCTTGATTAGCTTTGCGACGGTAATCAAGATGCTAATTGTAGCATATGAAACCAGGCTAGCTAACCTAGCTAAATATATTAAAACTAAATATAAATATAAAAAATAAACAGCTGATTCTTTAGTGTGACTTAGTCCAACTAAACACTGAAAAAGACATTTTTAGTCGACCAACCTTTAAAGTCCAGAAAAACAAAGAGACTTCAGGCTGTTAGATGAGTCCATTATTTCAATGCACGCAACATACTTTCACATTGCTGCGCCTTGATCCTGATGCCAGGTCGTCATGAGTCAGTCGGTGGTTTTTGTGGGACAGCCCTAAAATGGTAACATCTGTACCCTAAAAACACATTGCATAATGCTAACGTTGCATTTTATCACAATAATCATGCAGCTTTACCAGTTAACGCGTCAACTTTGTTCTGTGGTTGAAAACAAGCCAGATAGAGACTAATAACGTAAACACAATATACTTCAGTGTTAAATTTATGGTAATGTTGTTGTATTTCATTATCAAATGCAGTGTTTTAGAATATAAATATAACATGTTCACATCTTTCCATGTTGGCTTTCCTTTTTTAGAACTGGAAAAAAGGAAAACTGACTAACAAATTAGTCAGCTTCCCAACTGGTTAATTGGCACATACCCCAATTAGAAAGTAAAAGTGCCAAACTGGAGACCAGTGTAAATGAACGTATGGCTGCAGTGAAAAGCCGTTTTGTGCTGCCAGGCCTCCTGTGGAGGATTAGGGTCAGCATCGGTCTGATCTAATTCGGACTGACACTCAGCCAGACATGATCTAAACACCGTTAAGTGCAGCGGGAAGCTAATTGTGTTTGGTTTCCATGTGTCCTCATATCCACAGCCGTTTCCGTAGTGATTGTAAACACAGAGCCTGCCCTGACATGAAGAAGACGATAATATTTAGTAATAGGTTCACACTGTAATGGCTGACAGTGTCTGTTCTTCTTCTTTGAGGATGTTGAGCTGGGTGGTCAAAGTTGTTCCCCAGCCGCCTGAGCCCAAAAAATCAGAAGAACAGAAGGATGCTGCCCCGCCCCCTGCTCCTGCCCCGCCCCCTGCAGCTGCTCCGCCTCCAGTTACTGTAAGCTTTGCCCAACTAAAAAATGTTTTATTGTGTCATGTTTACGGAGCATTGTGAGGCAGAATGGGTTGTTTGCCTTAATAACTCAAATTTTTGTGCTGTTCTGGAAACCACAAGTCTGTGTGGTACTGCCACACTTTAACAAAAACATGTTATTAACAATGTCTAATATTAAACTGAAACAACAATGCTGGTGATTGGCGGAGGTTACCGTTACTATGGAAATGTTGAGACCCATTATTTGAACCTGAAACTCATATCATCAAAATCAAATATTTTTTTTAATAATCTTGATTCAGCTTGGAGCTAATTGGCTTGTTTCAAGGCTTAAAACTCTTTTTTCTGAAACTGATCAGAGAAAATGAACAGGAAATTCACTACGGTCACTGGACTATCATGATTCTGTAAACTATGGTGTTGAAGTGTGTGTGCTAAATGTCCATCATGATACTAATACTTTTATCCAGAAGTAGTATTTGCACTGTTACTTTTTATGCATTATTTTAGTTAAATATATATAAGATGACTTTGTGTGTTAAACAGGAGAAGAAAGTGAAGTTTCAAGATGAAGTCAAAAGTGAAAGTAAGATCATTCACATGCAAATCGTTTAACTTTGTGTAGCTCAGTCGGCATCTTTGTTTTTTAAAAAATATTAAACATATATCAATGTTTGACTGACAGCACCAAAAGCTGAAAAACCAATGCAGGAACCTCAGACAGGAGCGGAGAATGGGTAAGTTATAACCTACAAATATACCACACAAGACACAATGTTTAAACTTAAACACAATGTTAAACCTAAACTATACAAAAGGAGCCAGCAGTGCAGCTCATATTTTCCTCCTTATTTCCTGAAACCTTTCCTCATAGTTGCATAAAAATTAGTTGTTATTTATACGCAAGTTACAACTGTATTTCCAGCAAATCCCAACACACACTGGTTTTATTTATAAGGACAAATATTTTTCCAAATGAGTTTATTTGTTTGGAAAAGTACACATGAACAGTATTATAACAAACATTATGGTACAACTGATAAATATACAACTCGGAGTTCCCAGTTCAAGCTATGGCTGATAGCTACATTAGCCTAAACTGCTGCTAAATTAGCTGAAATCTAATGCTAACCTAGTCCTTCAAAGATAACTGAAAAACTAATTTTCCTCTGAATTTTCTTAATACTTCTATAGAAAAAATAGCTGGATATTTATGACATTTTATAAAAAAAAATTTTTTTTTATTTTTATTATTATTTTTCAGTAAAACCTAACTTAAAGGTTTTATTAATCCTAAAACCTAATATTATACAGATTTACTAATGAGTACTAATAGCTCTAAAATTCCTGTTTGATTCAGCTGTTAGACTTTATTAACAGTTACCGTATTTTTCGGCCTATAAGGCGCACTTAAAATCCTTTAATTTTCTCAAAAATCAACAGTGCCCCTTATAATCCGGTGCGCCTTATATAAGAATTCTGGTTGTGCTTACTGACCTCGAACTGATTTTATGTGCTACACGGCGCTCAAAAATCTTTCAAAAAAATGTTTTAGTACGACTTTGGTAAGCTATGAAGCCGCACCGCTTGATGGATTGTTGGAGCATTACGGCTGCCATAGTCAGGAGCCTCGCAGAGTAATCTGGATCTAAAACTCCGTCCGCTTCAGGTCCCAAAGTCAAACGAACACTGCAGCATCACTGAGAGTTACAAACGGTCTAAATTCTTTCATCTGTAATAAAATGATCAGCGTTGCTGCTTTACCAGGTGTAACAATTAAGTTTAAAATCCAGGCATCCATGAAAACACGATTTATTAAATTTAACAGAGTTAGAAGTTAGCAGGAAGTTAGCTCACTAGCTTCCACCTAAGCATGATATAGCATGTTCTGACTGAGAGATTTCTGAAACAATTCAAACGTACAGCTCTGCTATCACTTCCAACATAAATGAAGACAGAAAACTAAACAGTAGTGACGTTTGTAGGGTTACTGAACTTGGGCTAGCTGGTATATAATGATGTGCTACGTGACCGCTAGCGACACAGCTATGTTAGCATAACATAAACACCGTGAAGCTGGTGGATAAACGCTAACTTTTTTCCATTCAATAAAAATTAATGTGAGGGTTCCCGATCATTAGGGACAAATGCCAAACTTCAGTCAGGAGAACAACTGATATAATCCATCCACAATACAAGTTAGTCATTAATATACTGCAACAACATGGGAATAGAGCAGCTGTGAGAGAATTCAACATTAATGAATCATTGGTACAGAAGTGGAGGAAGCAAGAAGAACTAGTTGAGTAAAGTGTTTTGTTTTGCTCCTTATAATCCAGTGCGCCTTATGCTCCAAAAATACAGTACTACACGATGGAAACATGATGTTAATGATGGATTCTTCACTGTGAATGTCTCATAGTTTAATTTTATCTGTGATAATACTCCCCTGGAGAATGCACCGTTAGCTTGCTAAGAGACTTTTCCCTTCTTAATGATTTTAGTACCTTTTTTCTTACCTCTGACTCCAGTGAGGGAAGTAACCAGGGACATTTTCCTTGTACACACTAAAGATTAAATATCTCTTTATGTTTTTCAGCCTTTAAACAAGCTGCATAATTTCAGTAGCATTTTTGATTTTGAGCCCTGATTATATTTCGGTTCAGTGTTACTTTAGAAGGGAAAAAAAATCTTTGCTTTGTTCCAGGAGAGTGAATAAAAAGCCTGAATTTAAACGTTTACATCCTCAGCCCAGCAGCTGGGTCTCAGAGCGGCATGCTGACGTGGATCAGCGGCGCTTTGCCTCAACCCGCAGTCTCACCGAAAATGAGCCGAGCAAACTCCACTGCCAAGGTGAGGTCCTGATAAACGACCCTGGGTCTGACGCAGAGTCAGACTCAAGCTACATTTTTCAAAAAGATAACTCTGTGAGGTTTTCATACACATCAGATGAAATCTCTGTTGGTTTACAAGGTGGCAGTCCTGATTTTAGCCCTTAGTCAGTTTTTCAGATTTAGATTTTCAAAAAACAGAAAATTGATCGTAGCTTACACACAGAGCCACTAGTCACAAACACTGTTGCATGTCAAGGTAGAGATCGACAACAATGAGGTCAATAAATAAATAAATACATTAAAAGTAAGATAAAAACTAGAATACAAGGAGAAATGTCTAAAAATGATCAACTGCATAATCATTTTCTTTGTTATTGACACATTTAAGTCCAGATAGTTATCATCACACCACTTTACAAATTCAGGTAAAACGGGATCACAGTGCTCTGTTCTCATAAGACGTCCTGCAGATGTCGGTGTACATAATAAAAAGAAGATGTGCCAGAACAAAGCCCTGAGGTGAACCAGAGCTTCACACAATCCCACTGGACATTTGTCCGTTAACAAGGACCTGGACAGACTCGCGCTCTCGCACAAATATGAGGCTGCATCTTGTTAAAAGCAGAGGAGAAATCAGCAAACGGAAGTCTTGCATAATAATGATACTTTTTAAAATCTCACTAGTGGTTTAAGTGTGCTGTGAACCTTCCAGAACATAAACTGTTCCTTCTTTTAATAACAGGAGTCACAAAAAGACAAAAATAAACAGAAGCAGAGACACAAAGAGACCACTTACAGTCAGAAACTGATCTCTTTGCCCATTTCTTCTGCTGACTTATATTCTCCAGGCATGATCGACTCTTCTAGTGTCCAGACCTGCCCTGACCCTGAATGCTCACTATCTTTATAATTGGCTAACAATCTCACCTTAACAGTTTCCCAGGATTATACCTGTAGTCCTTCCTGAAAGCTTCATCTGAACCCCACACCTGCTTGATGTCTCTCTGAAAGCGCTCGTAGGGCCAGTTTGAGAAGTTAGTTTGTGATTCAGAAAACGCTGATGTTTTTACGAGTCTTGGGCTGATCGATTTGAACATCTGCTGCAGCTGGATCCAGCAGTTCTTTCAGGTCCAGCTCTTTTATTGTTCTCATAGTGTTTCCTTCTCTTTTCACTCATGCTGCCTACTCACAGGAGGAAGTTGAACCAGCCAGGTAAACAGCTGTGTGTGAAACAGCTCTGTGTTCAGTCTCGTGATATTTGTGTAGAAGCCGGAAACGTCAGAACTGTTAGACTCTGTAATGGACTTTGCATTTTCTGCCCTGACAGTAAACCCGAAGACGAGTGAGTAACCACCATAATAAAAACTAAATACTAATCTGATTCATAAGCCGATCAGCAGGCATATTGCCAAATAGTGAGCAGCTTGAAAAGCCTATCAATGAGCGGAATGCCAAATAGTGAGCAGCTTATCAAAGGCAGGATGCCAGAGATCGAGATTCTTTACGAAAAGCACCAATAGATCAGATGCCAGATAGCGAGCTGCTGTTTAATCCTTCATTAAGCTTTGCTGGATCTTCCGCAGCGCCTCCTAGTGTCCCGTAAAATCCCTCTCACAGTTATTAATGCATGTTTCTTCCTTAGCAAAGGGATGATTGCCTGGATATCTCAGGGTCTGGAGAAGGTTGTTCCTCAGCCTGAGTTGAAGAGCAAAGAGCCGCCCACAGCTGAGCAGCCGGCAGAGGTACGCCAGCACTGACTGATGGACTCCAGCAGCTTCATCTGAAAGCTGTTCATGTCTCGGCCAAGTTACTCCTGGCCAGTCCTTAATTGCACCTAAGCAGTCAGCATATTTTGAAGGTCTCACTGTTGTTGTAAATAGTGTTTGTTTTAAGTATCTGACCAAACCCGGCCATCGACTGTCAGCTAAAGTTATTAAAGCTAATTTACATCTCTGATTTCAATTTTATTTTAAACAAAAACACACATCTGACTCTGGAGTGTTTAGATCATTAATAGTTCTTTTTTAAAAAGTTCTGCTAAAGTCCAACATCCACCACAATCATTTAAAGAAATCCTGAACACAATCTGAAACCCCAACAGTGTGTGGAAAGCTAAAAGTAATCTTAAGCATTGGGAAATCATTGATTACAGATTCTGCAGTGTTTCCATCTCCATGATCATATTTTTAGCTTTTACCAAAAATATTCCTGCCTTGGTTACATGCTTGTTTCTCCTCAGGTGCGTCAGGCTGCACCTGCTCCAGGTGAGAACAGACCTGAATATGTTTGCAGACACAGACTGGATTTTAGCTGCTGCTCAGTCAATCATCAGTTTCCTTGTCTTTCAGCTGCAGAGCCTCCGGTTACTGTGGTGGAGGTGAAACCGGACCGAGATGACAAAACTGAAAACAAGCCACCGAGGTCAGCGTCCTGTTTTACAACATTATCTTTCCTTTAAATAAGCGTCTGTGTTTTATTAAGATGCAGGGGCGGACAGAACTATTTATACCTTAGATCAGCGGTCCCCAACCCTCGGGCCATTTGGTACCAGGCCACTAGGGCTGAGGCTCAGGTGTGAAATTCATGGTTTTCAAGATTTTTATCGTTTTTTAATTTTATTTTTTAAATGTCTTTATTGTTAACTCTGTTTCCCTGGGTCTTTTCCTTGTGTTATGAATAAATCTTCTTTTTTGTGGTACTGGTACTGGTTTTATTTTGTTGTATTTATCTTTGACACCTTAAAGGCCGGTCCGTGAAAATATTGTCTGCCATAAAAGGTTGTGGACCGCTGCATCAGATGTTAGAGGTGAGAGATGAGTGGGTAAATGAGACTCAGGTGAAGATAATTAAGCAAAACAAGAAGTAAAACTTGAGATAGACAGAGGAGAAAATGAGACAAACAAGACATAAACAGAAGGTTAACACAAAGAAAAAGAACTCAGCCACCTCACAGGAGCTAACTGTTCATGTGATATTTCAATCTGCCTGTGTTCTTACTCACAGCATGATAGACTGGATCAAACAGGGCATCGAGAAGGTGGTTCCTCAGCCAGAGATCCATGTTCGCTCAAAAACGGAGGCTGAAGCTCCAGCTCCAGCTAAAGGTATCTTTACTTCTCATTCAGCCACAAATCATCATTATAGACCTATTTAGCTCAGAGATTTTCTTTCATGTTGTGGTGGTAAATGTTTGATTTGAACTGCTTTGCTTGGTTGAGCTCACCTGAAACATCATGTTCTGCTGACAGCTGGAGAAAAGAGAGTACACTATTCTTTCTAAAACAAACATTTGGACATTTAATCACCTTCGACTGGCTGTACTTTTGTGATATTTGGTCCTGGTTGAAAACACAGAGTTCAGCATAGTTGTAGATAACCTTCACAAAAACCAATAGAATCAGCATTTTATGGAAATACATGTTTAGATATTATTCAGCAAGAAAATCTTTACGAACTGATGACAGCTTTCTGATTTTTTTTAACTATAAATGCAGTTGCTAACAGCAGTGTAAGCTGCGTCCAACATCTGTAATTCTACTTAGCCTCTTTCTGCCAGATGCCTTTTCTTGGACATGTAAAACTTTAGGATTCAGTGGTGCCGTTTTGTAAAATTGTGCTAATATGATTTGCTCCTCCCCTTTTAAACAGCTGAAGCTCCGCCTCCAGCTCCTCCACCTGTCCCCAAACCAGCCCCAGAGACCAAGAAGTGAGTCAAACCTTTGTCACGGTGTTGTGTCCTGTTTTAAAGTCTTTAAAAGGGAATCAGGCCCTGCGGAATGATCTATTTTACTCTAACTTGGACCATAATTTACAAAATGAGCATCATGTTTCATTCGGTAAGATTTAAAACTAGTGATTGAGACCATAAACTCACCGGAAGGTGTTACTTAGCTCAGAGATCAGGTGAGCAGGAAGTACATTTTCTCACAGCCTTCTACAAAATCATGCCAGAGGAGTCGCCCCCTGCTGGTTATTAGGAAGAATGCAGGTTTAAGGCAGCTTTGCTTGATTTTTCAAAGCTGGAAGCTCAGGTCTCTCCTACTTTTGTCCTCACAGGTCCACCAAGGAAGCCGAGGAGCCACCAAAGTAAGTGGAAACATGTTTATGTTGAGATAGAAAAGTATTTTGTCCTTGTTAGCAGGGAAGCTAGCGTTAGTCCAGACAGAAGAAAAGCAGTTCAGCGTCAGGTTTGGTCCTGAAAACCAAACAAACCATACCTCCATGATTCTATGCGGATGTTGACTGTAGTCAACTCTTCTTGTTGTTCTTCCAGCATGATGGGCTGGATCGTCAATGGGATCGGTCGCATGTTGCCTCAGCCCGTGCAGAAGTCGGTGAGTTGCTGCTACATGACGCTCAGCTCTCGCAAACATGCCATAAAATTCCAGTTAGGTCAGGTGACCTGAAGGTGTCATCTGTTTCCTTCATACAGGATGCAGGAAATGACGAGGTGCAGACCAGTAAGTACAACAACAAACCAACATCAGAGTCGCATCACACTCAGTTGTGAGTTTATTAGTGGCCAATTGTACGATGAGCAGCTTGGACAGAAAATACTGAGATACAGATAATTTACATCCATCCATCCCAAAGGGAACAATACAACAGGAAACGCAGCTCGATGATCCGATATAAATGCACGTGAAAAGGAGACGTTTTATATGCTGTAGCTTGTTTTGAGCAGCCACCACTGACACATGAAGATCCCAATATAGACTTTCTGAAGTTGGCTGAAAGTTGGTTATAGAAATCATGCTGACTGAAAACCTGGTTTATCCTTACACTGTGACTCTTGGAGTGGGTGTAAAATGCATTTGGTTGTTTGGATGCCTTCATTAAATATACTAAAGTTCTATATAAAAACATTTACTGATTTAATAGAAGTGAGGTGGGAAATTTCTCGCGTTTCATTGTTACAACCAAACTTTTCGATGAGAAACACCCTAAACCGAGCTACAGATTTAAGTCAATTAAAAAGTAATTTTCTTACTACATCTATTTTTTTTTAGAAGACCCCATTTATATTATTCTGTGACACTGGCGAATTGATTGATTGATTGGTTAGTGGTAGGTCAGGGGTTGGTGTCAGTGATGAGGCAGACTGTAACTGGGCTGCTCTTCTCCTTCTGTTTCAGGGGGGAAAGGCGGACAGAGCCCCTTAAAATAAAAGGAGAAGGAAGAGCGGGACAGAGTCGCTCACACTGACACTGACAGCAGCAGACACTTTAACTGACTGACGGACACTCAGAGCTGTTTGCGCACAGCTACGGCAAGATTCAGTCCTGTAGCGCTCACAAAGCTGCACTGCTTTTGTTTTGCACAGCCATCGTGCGGAACTTAAACTTAGAAAAGGGGCACAATTGTATGATTTTATTCAAGGGGACTCATTCTGCTTCTGCTCCCTGTTTTGATTGTTTGACTCTAATAGAGTAGCTTTGCATGATTCAAAGTCCAAAATAATCCTTTGTCTCACACCGGGTCGTTGTTCACTCACAAAGTTCTTTCTTTGTCTAAAACATTATGTTAGCTCCTCCCCCTTTCTTATGATAAGCTGCCCTTTATAAGGTGGGCGGGGCATCCGTGTCTGAGATGACCATATTAGGGTTAATCTCACTCTTTGCCCATGTTTAATATGAACTTCCACCATCTGAACAGGAGATATTTGAAGGAAAACAAACAAAAAGCAGAATATGTCCCCTTTAATGAACACCAGTTATGATTAGGAAGTCTTTATTGCTATGCTCTGTTTAAAGTTCAAGCCTTTGGTGCCCCTTCATACTGGGAACTCTGGATTGCTGGTAGTCCACGTCAACTGCTTGCTTGGTAAAGGGGACCAGTTGTTCTCATTTCCAGCTCTTTAATCTTTTAATCCTGGAACTAAACCAGAGTAACTTGGCAAGATTCTCAGGTGAAAATAATTCTTATTTATCGTATATTGCCCCTTTATGTAGTTTCCTGTCTGAAACTAGCTGCTTTAGCTCCCGTCTCTTCAAGGTACCCATCTCTAAAAGCCCAATGCCTTCTGATTGCCTGACTTATGGAAGCCTACAGAGGGGCAGCACCTTGTGTTTTTGAGATGTACTGCCTGTACGTCATGAGGGTGCTGTTCCTGTAGCAAGTGACTTCTGCATAGTCTTTGAATACAAATAAACATAAATATGTTTATTCATATTAAAATGATACCAGCCAGAAACTGAGGTAAAGCACAACTGGTCCCCTTTGAAGGTTTTTGCTAAATCATTGCAGACGACTACAAAGGAAGCCTTTTGCTTAATATTTATTATAATAAAGACATTATTTGGAAAAAAGGTGTCTGTTGTGTTGTTGTTATAAACCTGAAAAGGGCAATAGACCTATCAACCAACCAACCAATCAATCAGTTATCAACTGTTCAAAAATCTAATCATTTCTAGCAACTTAAGCTTTTTTAGGACTCAAAGCACATTTATTTCTAAATTCTTCAATTAAAATATTTATTTCAGACATGCCAGTTAAGTAGCAGGTGCTTAAATACTTCACAATATGGACCAAAAGGAGCCGTTTGAAAATCTAGACGTTCTAATAATTAAACCCGCACATCTAAATCAAATGAAAATGCAGTTACTCAGTATGAATTACCTGAATTACCCCAAACACAGTCCATTTCTTGACTTTAACCTTTTTAAAGCAAAAGTTTCATACTAGCCATCTGTTAGGATTACTAGATTAATGTATGTTTCTTATTACAACCTTTTAAATGAATACTCCAGCTTTTACTGCACCTTCTTGGAGACTTCTAAACACATAAATATAGAGAAAGTCTTCAGCCCTGTTCTTCCTGCCATGTGCCATTCAGTCAGTATCATACAGAAGAACACAGACCTGGTGCTGGAGGACATTGAACAGGAAGAAGTCAAGGAAACAAAGCCGGAGGTGAAGGAAGAGCCACAGCTGGAGAAGAAAGAGGATGTGAAGCCATCCAAAAAGGAGGTGAGCCTGACCTGACCGCATGATTGTAACACACAGCTCTGAGCCACACCAATGTAATATGCTCACTATGAACATAAGTATTTTAAATCAAATTGTAGTTCTGCCACAGGTAACATGGTACTAACATGGTACTAACCCATGTGGAAGAGTGGTATGATAGCAGCTCTGCAGTCGTAGTCCCAGAAAGGCATGACAGCACTTCAGTTACCAGTACATGTCCTTCAGGATATCAGTATCCCAATGCCATGGGACAATCAACATGGTAGTACCAGTGTAGGCACTGTCTATTTATATGGTACCATGTTTGGTATTATGGTTTCACAGTAACTACAGGGCACTCTACTATGGTAGCACCAAAATAATGGCAGCACTTCTATTACCACTGTAGTAAAGATTGTAGATGGTGTATAAACTTTTGTCCTTAAGAACAAGGGTCCAATAACCCCAGTGGCATTTGGAAGGATAAGTGTTAATACTAGTGCTGGTACTGTGGCCATCTAAATGTTACCACGGTCATTTTTGAATTAACACTTTCAGTGGGAAACTGGTACTACCAGAATAAGTTATTTAGTAAGCACTTTAGGTACTGCAGCACTTCAAATACCACTGTAGTACTGGTTGTACCATAGTATGTTTTGCAGACCCAGGATACCAGTATTCCAGTACCATGGCAAAAGTGAAATGGCAGGAGAACTGTAAACACTGTGGTAAATAGTGTGATATATGACAGCAGTCCCCAACCTTTTTTGCGCCATGGACCGGTTTATGTCTGACAATGTTTTCAGAATCAGACTCCAGTCTCAGCACTATGGGGAAGGATAAGGTAATACTAACAAAGGCCTTGTGTAAATGTTATCATGGTGCTACCAGAGTTCATTAGGTGACTGATGACTGCTCGAGTGAACTGTTGCTACGTAACTAAAATCATGGCTGGTTGCAGACTGGAGATGCAGAATCACAGGTGGATGAGTTGAGTCCACTGATTGACAGCATCAAAAAGGAGGCTGGAGAGGCAGTCCTAGCTCACATGGAGGAAAGGTTAGCCTCAGTCTTTTGTCTCATATGTGCAATAAGGATGATGATGATGATGATGATGATGTCTCTTGGGCGTTCTTGGGTAGCAATTTTAGCAAGATGTCTTTGTTATTTAAGTCACATAAATTCTTCTATCCATGACTATTGATTGATCTTGTTACAGGCTGCAGCAGGAGCGTCTGGAGGCAGCTCGTGTGGCTGAGGAGATGGCCAGAAAGGCAGCGGAGGAGGCAGTCCGCCAGCTCGAGGTGGAGCATTCAGCTAAGATTGTAATAGAAACACTACCAGAGTCCAATGAACAGTAAGTAACATCAATTCAAAACATCACGCATGAGCAGCGCCATGGCAAAGTGCTCTAACCTATGAGCTTATTGGGATTTATCAAAAAAAGATCCTTGTAGTATCTCAAACATCTGAGCAGTAGTATGGTAAACAGAAAACAGTCCAACGTGACCTGAAACCTCGAATTGCTCCTGTTTGCTTTGAACAGGCTGCCCAATATCCTGGAAGAAGAAAATGAGGATGATCCAGAGTAAGTTTCCTTTGGTGAAGCCCAAATAACAATGCTGTGGGTCTTACATGCTGCTTTTGTGCTCCTAGCTTAGGCTGCTGCAGCTTTTATATCACCTGAAAGTGATGGGACAGGTGAGACAATGTTCTTATCTCAAACACAATCCACATAGCACTTTATATTCCAAGTGTTGGGTTGAACAGTATGTTAAATAACTTACATGCTACTGCTGAACTTCTATCAGTAACATGTACGTTTTCATGAAAAGAGAAATTTCCCAGCTCTCTTTGCTGCCTTTAACAACAGGCTGGTTTCTCTCATCTTTGATTGCACTCAAATCAAAGGATGCCACATTAGCTAGCAACATTAGATAACAATAACTAGAAAAAAATCTTTTTTATCTAATGAATGCTGTCTAGCCAAATTGAAGTGTGGGGAAATGAGGATTATCGTCAGCAGAGCATTTTATTGATGGGGGCTCTTTGATTGAAAGCTGTCAATCTTGGCTAATATAAGCAAACACTATCTTACTTGTTAGTCTTAAAGATTTGTAAGCTACCTCACACACCTCACTCCCAGGGCTGTCTGTGCAGATAAATTAGGTTTTTCTAAGTTACTTTATCAGCTAACATTAGCTAACATATTTAGCTAATAGTGTTATATTTAGCTAATAACACAGCTAACATATTTCTGTAGATAGCTTACATAGCTAAGTTAGCTAGCTAGCTAACTGTAGTGTCCTCAAATTACTACTTGAGAAAATCGCTGGAATGTAAATGCTTATTGGCTAGTTGGCTACATCTAAGTTAAAAACAACTGCTAACACTAACTAGTACTACATGTAACGTTATACTGTACTGACCTTAGCCAACAGTAAGTCATGTAACAACACAAAGCCAAGGAGTATGGCATCAATGTCACTGTACAGGACATACAGGTCATACAGACCCCTGATGTCGGTTTATACACCATGAGTGTCATTCATAACAGCTGTTTTTATGTCACGCCATCTGTAAGATCCTTCCCTGAACACTGACCTTCCACATCAGCCAGGTTCCGCAAACCAGTCGACTAGTTATTAAATGTCAAAAAAAATAAAACCCTGAAAAATTCCAACTTCTATATGTTATAATTATGAGAACATCTAAAATAATTAGAAGAGCACGAAATCGTAAAAATACTATACATTCAGGTCCCATTCAAAGAACAGGCTGTTGGAATAGGAAGCGTTATTGTTGGATTCAGCCTGTTTTTCTTTAAATTGATAGAAAATTGATTTGAGATCGCTGCTGTCGCTCTGTGCGACTTGTTTCTGTTCTTGTAGAGTTATGAAATATTTTATCAACATTTTCAACATAAGGCCTCCAAAGGTTTGCTGTGTGCATATCCATGTGTCCATGGATAACAGTAGTGTAGTTTGTGGACAGTTTCGGCTGGCCTAGCCTCTTTAGTTTAACAGCAGGCTTCATCTTCACCTTCGCTGCTCTCTGCTTAGCTCTGTCGCTACCGCCTTTAGCTTCAGAATGGTTGAAAGATGAGCTCAGCTGTCTCAGGTGTCTGACTGGGACTCTCCATCTTATTTAACATTTGCTGCACACTGTTCAGGTTACAAAACCTGCAGGAGGACAGTGAAGACAGCACAGAGAATCAGAGTCCTGAGGAAAATAAAGTGACAGAGGAAGATAAAATCAAGACCACTGTTGAGGAAGAGACTAAATCTGAGCAGTAAGTTTGGTCATAGAATTTGGTCTGCTTGTAGAGTAAGAAACTAAAAGATACTCAAATAGTTTGCACACACAAGTGTGCACTAAGAGGCTGACGTGCCTGCTGGCATTATCAGATTTATGAAGCTTTAAACCTTTTACATCTTTTTAGAGCAAACTGAAGTCCTGCCCTGTTCCTGGCTGGCATCTCTTCTTTTTAACAGAAGGTGTTTGTTCGAACTTGACTCGCTGCACTAGGAGCTGAAATCAGTTTTGTCACTTGGAGAACATCCTGAAGGATAAAACCAGAGGGCCGTGCAGTCAGTTCTCCCATAGCTTTTTCCACAAACTTGGTTCACAGCTCGTTTACTTTTCCATAGCACTAATGTTGCCTGGGTACTAAAGAGTCCAATGTATTTGCAGGAATTGGTTGGCCAAATAAAACACTACCCGGTTTTATTTGGCTCCTTTCTAGCGCCAATGAATAAGACCTAACGAGAAATGGTCATTTCAAATCTTCAAGTTGTCATTCGGTTGTTAAACTAAACTTTCAGCGCCTTGAGGTAACTGGTGTTGTGATTTGGTGCTACATAAATAAAATTGAATTGAATTAAACTGTATACCCAAGATGAATGTTAGAGACTTTTTTAAAATTTGCCATGTAGTTAAAACAAAATCCAGCCCTTCCTATGATGGGTCACTGATGACGTCCACCCTACACATTGTTTAATTTCCTACATGTGTTTTGGCCATACAGTGCTTCTGTTAAAACATTTTAAATGTGTCATATCAGTGACACCTGTACATAAATGCATATTTATAAAAAGTTCAAACCTAATGTGCACCACCGTAGCCAGCTGTCATAACAGCTCGGCCCCAAAAAGCACAGCAGGCCAGACTTTGAACAACACCACCTCACACCACAGATTTAACCTAAGAAGCTGATTCCTGTTGTTAACGGTGAATGTCAGACACAGCCAGCCGAAGTAGCTCAGTTGGGAGAGCGTTACACCGTAGATCTAAAGGTCCCTGGTTCAATCCTGGGGTTTGATAAGCAGACAATGGGCAAGCTTTTGGCAGCTGGATAGTGTAATGGTAAGTTTGATTCCTTCCAAGTATCCAGTAAGGGTCCTGGCTAGGTCCAAAGGAATGGTAAATGGCCTGTATTTATATAGCGCTTTTCTAGTCCCTAAGGACCCCAAAGCGCTTTACACATCCAGTCATCCACCCATTCACACACACATTCACACACTGGTGATGGCAGCTACATGTAGCCACAGCCACCCTGGGGCGCACTGACAGAGGTGAGGCTGCCGGACACTGGCGCCACCGGGCCCTCTGACCACCACCAGTAGGCAACGGGTGAAGTGTCTTGCCCAAGGACACAACGACCGAGACTGTCCGAGCCGGGGCTCGAACCGGCAACCTTCCGATTACAAGGCGAACTCCCAACTCTTGAGCCACGATCGCCACGAATGCCCTGGAATGGCGTGGCTACGTCTGCAGCTCGGACGCAACACATTTCACTGCATGTTGTACTTGTTTCGTTACGCTGACAAAGGCCTGACTTCAGCAAACTGGCATTATGGGTTCACGTGGAGTCTCCTGGTAAAGCTCTCTTTGGTCTCCAACAACTAACTTTCTGTCGTTAGATGTTTCCTTTGTTGTATGTATAGAGGGGCTTTCAGAGTTTATGGTTATCCAGAAATCAGGGCAGGACTTTGGTTCAAATAGTTTTTATGCCCAGACGTTTACTATGCACTACTTCTGTAGAAGTTGCTTTTTTCAGTTTTTCCATTGATTACATTTACCTTTATTTTCTGCTGCGTCTTGCCTACTTTTCTTCTGTGAATCAGGGCAGATCTCAAAAGGTAGGTTGGATTTTTTTATAGGCGGTATAACCACACAGAATAAAGCAGTTCTGTTTTTGTCAGCCAGCTACTGTGTTTCACCTGCTTCTGGTGGCTTCATTATGGTTAACTATAGTTGAAGATTCAGTCCAATATACAGCCAAGAGGGCACATTTTGCTTTGTATAATCGATTACCTTGATTACTTAGAACAAAAAAATACTAACAGGCCCAGACACAGCCCAGTGTTGTCTTCTTTAGCAATGTTGCTTGAACAGGGCAGGTATTGTAATCGATTATATTGATGTTCCCAAATAATGTTGACAGCATCCTGTTATTTCTAATATAACCGCCAACAATTAACAAAATAAACCAAACTAAACTGGCTCACCATTTCTAGAAAGAATTTGCGATTTGTGTCCTCTGTACACACTTACCCATAATAACAACGTTATCCAGTGAACGGCAAAAATGAGAAAAGATCTCACCTCAGATATTTGCCCCATGGGGTTCAGGGTACAACCTTATGTCTGAATGTTTGACCAGTTGCAAACATTTTGTCTCATAATTTAGAAAAACAGGACCCAAGAGTACAAATGTCAGTATTTCCCTATCAGATCCTTCCACAGTAGATTATACCTCAAACAGAAGCCACTTACATTGCAATTGTAAGTTTTCCTGTGCCCACGTGCTTCTCATAGGAAACTCACTGAGATATTCACCTCACACTGTAAACTCTGACATGAACGTTGCTGTGAATTGTTGCTTGTCAGTGCAGATGATGTCAGTGGAAGGATCAGCTCTGCAGCTTTTGTGGAGGTCTGGTTCGCTCTTCTATGATGTTAATGACGGCTGCTCCTCTTCACCAGGTGCATGGTAGACGTCTGCCCAGCTGAAGATGAAATCAAAGCAACAACTCAAGTGGAAAAGGTGGAGCCTGCTCCAGACGAAACCCACAAGCCCCCAACTCCACCCACTGAATCTGAAGCACCAGAGGAAGCCACTCCTTCAACAGATGCAGAACCAGTCTCCCAACAACCTGAGCCACTGCCTCCAGAAACTCCACCCACTACCACGGATCAGGTGATGGTCTCCTGGATTCTGCTTCAGTAGATGGTAGTTTGAGCCAAGCAGAAGAGTTCGAGTATGTTGACAGGTGAGCGGTAGATTGACAGAAGGGCTGTTTGATCTAGTTTCCTACCCTCACCTTTGGTCATGAGTAGGGATGGGTATCATTTAGGTTTTATCCGATACCAGTACTAAACCGGTACTTTTGAAACGGTGCCGGTGCTTAAAGAATGGAGAACACACACTTTGTCCAAAAACCTCTCATGTTTAGCTGTCTTTTTGTAAAAAGATAACCATGTTAGCCTTTTCTGCAGCTATGGGGCATATATGGCATCACTCTTGGCTGGAAGCAGTGCTTAAACAATGGAAAAAACACAAACTTTGTCCAAAAACCTCTCATGTTTAGCTGTTTTCCACTTTTTCTTTGGTCATTTTAGCCTTTTTGGCCAAGGTGAAGGGAGTATCTGCCATCAAACAAGAAGACAGCCGCATGTACAGTAACTACGTCTGTGTTTGCTAGTTCACCTTACATGCATTAATGTAATAACGTGGTTAGCCTACTCAACGTAAATTACACACGAACAACATGAAGCTACTCACGCAGAGAAGAACGGCTGCTGCTGCATCATCATCCTCATCATTCTGCTACACTGGCAGGGCTAGGGGGCAGGACTCTCCTCTTCGGGTTCTTGGGGGATGTTGCTAACTCCGGGACCGATAACAGGCACCACACCCGCAGTAGATGTGTGAGGTCTCGCAGCAAGCTATCAAATACGGCATATTTCTCGGCTTTAAAAAAACTCTATGCGTCGCCAGGTGTTTCATCAGATTTGAGGTGTTACCTCCTTTGACAGCATCACAGTATCAGCTTAAAGCACTTGCTGCTGCTGAGTTTGCATATTTTGCTGTGAAGTACAGCCAGACTTTGACCGCTTCGCCTTGGGCATTTTTAATCTGCTCTAAAAGAACGTACGTACCTGGCCCCGCCTACTACGCTTGCAAAGGTAAAATGATTGGCTAGAATCCAAAGTGTGTGACATCTCAGTAAAAAAAAAAAAAAGGACCGAAATAAAGCACTGAAATGTGCGCTGCTTTTCGGTCTGGTTACTACCGTTTATGTCAGAACCGGTGCCATTATGGCACCGGATACCGGTACACATCCCTAGTCATGAGGTAGTGGCCCAAAGAATGAGATCGAGGACACTCCTCGAGCTTCTCCTGAAGGGACTCTGGACTCTCCTTTAGAGGAAGGGGAGGAACTCATTTAGAGTAGAGCCATCACTCCTACACACTGAAAAGGAGCCACCTGCAGTGGTTCATCATTTGCCCAGGATGTCTCCTGCACGCCTGCTGCATGTCGAACCAGGAGGAGACCCCATGTGAGGTAGAACCAACACAAGCTGGAGAGATTGTCTCTCGACTGGTTGGGAATGAATCGGTGTCCCTCCATGAGCTTGAAGGTGGAAGAGTACAGAGGGAGGTGTAGCTGAGAACCTGAGGAATGTACAAAAGACCGAGTCAAAGTGGCTCTGAATCTTTGTGGCTTCTTTCCCAGAGAGCAAGAGGAAGAACCTGGTGAAAGTCAAAGAGACAATCTAGGAACTTGAAGAACTTATTATTGGAGGACACATTAGAAAAAGTTCTGGACTTGAAAGATCTGCTGACCTGGTGCCAGATACCACTGGCACTGTTATTTATTGGTCTTAATTTTTTTGGTATGTTCTCACTTCCTAAACCAGCACTCTACAACCTGAATTATACGTACTTCGAAGAGTTAATCTCTGATTAATTTCTTCTGATTATCCCAGATATTGTCAGAAAGGAGTTCCAGCTGCTTGACTTTGTCCTGAGCTTTCAGTGTATTGAGTGGTCTCCATCAGAGGACCGAGCTGGCTAAGCTGTCGTGGAGATCAGTCTGTTGGTGTTAAAGGTCTTTAGCTCGTGTGGACGTCGGTGATAAATCCAATTCCTGTGGTTCCTTGGAAACAGTTGGAAAAGAGCATCTCTACTTGAGAATCACTCACTGGCTTTCTAAGGAAATTTCAACCATGTTCCTGTGACTGCAGGACGGATTGACAGTTATATCTTGTTTTTAATAATTGTTTTCTTCTTAATTCTCAGACCAGCACAGCAGAAGCAGAAGAAGGTGGATGTGGAGGTGAGACTGCAAAATCAGGTTTTATCTGTTCGGTCTTCTTGTTTCTCTTGTTCCGACTGCTCTCTTCATGGATTTCTTTGCCCTTCGTTACCTTCACTGGTCCGGTTTTAGGACCCTAACGCTAACCCTTCTCACTGCTGTTTCTCTGTCTAGTTCCTGACATTTGCTCTCCGATAAAGAGCTTTCTGCTTCGATTCCCTCATGCTGCCGAGTGCCTGGAGAGCTGCACAAAGCTGATGCGTAACCATAACCTCACCCCTCCCACGCTGTCCGTGCCGGCACCACCGCCAGAGCTCGCCCAGCTGACCCAGGAGCTGTTGCAGCTCACCAAGCAGGCGCAGCAGTGCTGTATGAGCATCTACAGCCGCTTCAGGGGCCTTAACTCCAAGTCCCAGGATCCTTAGCAGCCGTAACCCCCACCCCCCTCCAGCAGACTCCTAGAGACACCTTATAGATTATAGACTAGATAATCTGTGTAGATCGAAACCTTTGAAGTGCCAAACCAAACAAACACACTTCCAGTGCCTCCGAACGTTCCATTTCCCCCTCATCCTCACTCCCATCATGCTCTGCAGCTCCGCTGTGCTTCACCATCAGCTGCCAGCTAAGCACGCCACAGGTAATCAGGAGGAGGTGGATGTCTGAGCTGCTGTAGGCTGTGTGCTTGTCCCTTTGCTTTTTTTAATGAGTCGTTTAGAGCTGAATCACCAACAAAACTGGGCAACAGAATCTCCATGTTTACCTCGCGATAGTCTGTGTGATGGGATTTGTTACTGAAGAGTTCTTTATCTGCCACGTTGTTGCCCCTGGTGATGGATTTTTCACGAAGCAGCGTGATGCAGATTTCCTGTCGAGGCCGAAATATTTAAGCAAGCATGAATCAGTTTTTGCTCCATTTATGTGGACACAGGAAATCAAAACTGGACTTCAGTCCTGTGATTCTCATTTAAGACTGAAGAGAAACTCTGTGACTTTACCTGCATCATATTTTCTGTGACCTGTTAGAATAAGAGAGGCCATTTATCGAGCTGGTAACATTAAATGCAGGGGGGCTTCTGTGGATTTGGGGTTATTTCCAGACAGTTTTACATATTTAATGCTGAATAACTCTTGTAAACACCACACATCTGTAAACTGGAGAACACACTTGGCCCATAAACGTATAAAAATTAATATATTTATTTAAATACACATTTTTCTTACCATAAAACCTCATCAGTTCTTTTTGTTTTTTTCTCTGGATGTGTCCAGAGGCAACAATCAGCATTTTATCATCTACAAATAAATGAAAGCAGAAGTTTAAAGTTGCGCTGGTGCTTTGGAAACAGCAGTTTAACACGTCGACCTGAAATGCGGTTCAGTTGAGGGCGAGTTGATTCGTGTAGGAAGACGTCGCCTGAAGTCCAACTGCATTTATTTTCTGGTCCTCAGAAAACTGCAGTAAACGTTTGGCTGAAGCTTCAGAGCTGAAGGTGGAGGCGATGGATGTGATGGAAGGGAAAGGTCTGAACATCCCCCAGATTATCACCACCCCAGAACCAGAACCGAACAATCTCACAGCCCCAGAGCTCAGGTAACACACAACGTGTATGCTGCTGCTCACGGCCTTCAGGGGGCGCTGTTACCACGCTAAGACATGTAAACGTATGAAAGCATCCATGTTTAATGTCTGTGTTATCCTGTCTTCATGTCCAACTCTGCATCCTTTCATGGTTGTTCTTGTCCTGCTAAAAGTTGCTGAGCGAAACATCTAACAGCTCCAAATATGATTAAAAACACAACTCTGAGTTAAAATCAATGTAAATGGTTTCCTTAAATCTTTCTTTAGCTCCATCCTTTCTGAAACTGTTTGAACTGATTCATATCTCCATGTTCAGAGGCCTGCACACCAAAGGACGTTTGACATACCCATGTTATCACTGTCAGGGTCAGAGGTCACCTGAAGGTGGTCTTCAGCTCCATAAGTTAACCCAGTTAACCTTCAGCACACAAACATCCAAGGAATTTTACAGGAATGGAGACGTGCTTTTCCAGAGATCCGATTGGCCAGTAGGTGGTATTTTTGTATCTGCTGATCTCAAAGATAACCAGAAATCTTCAGATATCAATGAAATTCCTCGACGTGTAGCAACAAGAGACGGAATAAACACGCAGTGGGCGGGTCCTAAGTCAATATTCTCGCAACTTTAATGAAAGCAGGCACCAATGGGAGCAAAGAATATTTGTAACTGACCAGTAGTAACAAACACTGCTGGTCAATACACACTACAATATACACAACTTTGTCAGTATTGACAAGCAGAGCAATGCACGGTTGCTCTGCTTGAAGGGTCTTCATCCCAAATCTTCCTGTGCAGTATCGGCCTCCGATGGTCTTTGAGGTAAGTCGTATGTTCAGATGACGTCTCGGTGGAGTAAAAATAAAACGGAGCTACACAAAGCCAAAATCTTTAAAGCAGTTTTTAACCCAAAGAATTAAATTAGAATCACTTTTCACAGTGGTTCAGTCTAAATATCAGGAGAGCAAATCAATATGCTTTCAGATGTGTGGCCACAACTGAAGATTAGCTTCAGAGACTCTGACAGTGTAAATGTAGGAGTACAGAGCTCGAATAAAAGCTTTGTGAATCTGAAACTGTGTTTGAAACCATTAATGAAGCTGACTTGTTAATCTGGTCGAAATTAGAAGCTGGTCTCGCCGCTCAGCAGCCGTGTGAGTAACGTCTTGGGTGGTTATTGGGGCAGTTATTCTAAGGCTACTATCTGAATGAGTCAGTGGAGAGTCTTGACTTTATTGTCATTGATCACTGAGACCAGTTAACAACAGTTTAAAGAGCTTTTTTCTGTTAGACAACCATCAGTTGATTCAGGGGCCAATGCGATGTTCTGTTGTACCACGATAAACACATCTTTAAGATTGTCTGTCTCTACAGACGGTATGTGAGCATCATATGGACACCTGCGCTTTTGGTGAATTTCTCACTATAGTACAATAGTACTGTGACCTCAAAGCAGCCATATTATTGGTCACATGATGTCATTGTTGCCGTTTTAACCCTCTATGACACAAAAAGTAAACATATTGTGTGTAGGGGAAGTCTAAGGAGTAAAATTATTTTGCAAAAGGCTCCAACAGCACAAACACGGTGCAGAGGTCCAGTTCAGGGTTCACCATCCCCCTCTGTCACAGAGGCCACGCCCACTAATATTGCAAATTTTAATCCCGATTGGCTCTCTGGAGAAAGAGCAGACAAATTTCTGTCCAGGACTCCCGTCTGGTCCCTGTCTGATGAAGATAAAAGCAAGTCTGAAGTCTGTGTTTGAACTCACAAGAGCTTCGGGTTCTCTGTGGGCCTTGAAACACCAAGCGTCTCCTGGAAATGTTGAAAATGATTCACAGTTTCTGGGTTTGAGCTTTCTTGATTTGACTGAGCTCTCTTCAGTATTGTGATTGGTGCTGTTGTTGATTTGTTGAGCTCACTAACGTTTTAGAGGCATTTTTTATCGTGCTGTGTTCTGGATGGAGGGACTTCCTTTAACCTCAGTAAGAGCATCAGTCTCTGACAGCTTTAATGTGTTCTGCCATTCTGAATCTGGACTAAATGCAGGCTGGAACATCTTATTGTTTCCTCTCCACGTGTCCGTGTTGATGTCTGTAGTGTTGCAGGTGATGTGTCTGCAGACGAGGACGATCCCGAGCTGCTGAGGGTCGGTTTGAAAGTCTGGACCACTCAGGGAGACCACCTGTCTGCAGACGACGAGTGAGAGAAACCCCACAGACTCACAATGAACTCCCTGCTTCCATCTGTCTGTCCACCATGTTTACCTTCCCGTTCTTCCTCCTGCAGGACACGTCCGCTGTCGGCGACCAGCGTCGGCAGCGTGGTGGTCCAGGACCGCCTCAACGAGCTCGTCAGACTGTTCAAAGGTCGGACGGAGCGGCAGAAAGAACGGCTGATCGACCCGGACGAATCGGAGGAAGAAAGTCCCGCAGCCTGTACGTAGAAACCGGTTTCACGAGTCAGGTCGAGTCAGAAGCTTTGATAAGATAGAACCAAATCCTGCATCAAAACGCCGCTGCAGTGGTTTGCTCAGTGATTATATGAGTTTAACAATATTCGTGCATGAAGGATTTGAATAAATGATGAGATTAAACAGTTTGCATCAAATACTGAATGATTTTCAGCTGCATCAGTGTAAAACCATCAAAATGATGTTCTCGCGCTTCCTGTCTGATCCCTACAGCTCCAAGCAAAGCTCCGCCTCCCCCTCCTCCCCCGCCTCCCCCGGGAGAGGAGAAGAAAGACACAGCAGCAGGAGGAGGAGAAGAGGAAAAGGAGGAGGAAAAGGAGTTTAAATTTGAGCTTCTGGGATATGAGGTCAAAATTCCCAATCTGCCCAAACTTCCCCCGATGCCTGGCTGGCTCCGAGCCATCCTGGAGTTCCGCTTCCCCTCGAGCATCGACCCGTTCACCGGTGAGAAATCGAGTTCTCCATCACCGCACTTTTCAGGACAGCCATATTCACCCACTGCTTCAGCTTCTGGAGTTGGGTGGAGATGAGTTTCAGGGGTAATTTGTGACAGAAGCAGAGAAGCAAGCGTGAAAGGGAAGGTTTACAGGATGGCAGTGAGACCTGCTGTGATTCGTTGGCACAGACACAAACACGGGTGAAGATGTTCAGATGTTTATTGGGAGCGAGCGTCCATCAGGGGGACAGCTCAGAGAGGCTCAGATGGTTTGGACATGTGCAGAGGAGGGAGGGTGGAGGATGAAGACGGAGCTGCCAGGAAGACCTCAGTGCAGGTTCATGGATGTAGTGAAGGAGGACTGCAGGGGGTTGGTGTGACAGAGCTGGTGTGGTGACCCCTAAAGGGAGGAGTCAAGAGACAAAGAAGTAGATTGTTTCCCCGTTGAACGGCAGTGCGCACCTTGCTTTGGTGTCCTTTCAGCTTGTCGTGCACCTCTGGATCTTCAAACTCTGGCCCAGCAGGTGCAGCTCGGTCTTTAACATCTTTTCAGAGATAGATCAGTGAGGAGCTCAGAGGGTCCCAGACGAGTGAGAGGGCGATGCTGCAGCAGCATCAGGGCACCTTCTGGAGCAAAGTGTAAAACACAAGCTGTGCAGTCTCTCATGTATCCTGTGGAGGAGACACCTCAGAAGGTGCAGAGAGGCCAGAACACCGTAAGTGCCTGTATCAGGGGTCACAGGGATCTGATGATGTCACACTTGACGCACTGACCATAAAGTTTTAAGGTTGGATCGAAACTTGATTGAACTTGATTTTTATTTGTGGGACGTGGACGAAGTCAGAGGAAGTGAAATCTGGTGAGCAAAGGTCACGCTGGTGGCGAAAGCGTTTCTGAGCTGGTTTGAGATGAAACATGAGGTCAGGTGAGGTCATCCCCCCGGGTCAGATTGTCACCTGGGGGGATGAATTTACGGTGCGCTACACAAGGATCAGGTTCTTGGTTATCTGAAGTTCAGGTCACCACTAACAGGTGGCGCTGCAGTAAGAACATGAAGTTAAATGATAGTCAGCTCGCTGCTACCAGGGTTTTTTTATGGGTTCTTCTTTTTCCGTCATGTACGGAGGTCAGGGAGACGTTTGACTGTGGATTTCTGCCCCATAGACCTGATCTACGTCATCTGGCTGTTCTTCGTGGTGGCGGCGTGGAACTGGAACGTATGGCTGATCCCCGTCCGCTGGGCGTTTCCTTACCAAACCCCCGAAAACATCCACCTGTGGCTGCTGGCCGACTACACCTTCGACCTCATCTACATCATTGATATCCTCGTCTTCCAGCCCAGGTTGCAGTTTGTCCGCGGAGGAGACATCGTGGTCAGCAGAAATGAAACGATAAATAAAACTTTGATTTTATCTCATAAACTTTCACAAACACCTTTGATCTGGAACTTCTTTTCCACAGTGCAACAAGAAGGACATGAGAGAGCACTACATGACCACAGAGAGATTTAAGGTGAGAACTTTGGGCCAGAGCCACCTGGTGGATGGTGAAGGTACTGCAAGCGGGCCACAGGAAGTTAGAAAATACAATGAATACTTTAAAAAAATTATGTTTTAATTGAGTTTACATTTTACTATTCCCTTTTTAAAAAACAAATCAAATCACTTAAAATAACAAACGTTATTCTCCCTTTGACCTTTTCTCAACTTTCAGTGGGATTTCCCCCAGATATGACACCACATACCAAATCTGAAATACTTTCATTAAATAGAGTGAACTCTCTTTTTTTCAAATAGCAGGAAAAACTAAAATGATGAGATCAAAAATAATAACAAAGAAACACAGCTGTCACTAAAGCTTCGGCTGGGATAGAAAAGATTTTCATATTTCTAAAACTGCTGCATTCATCTGAAGTTTAGGATCTGCTGTTGTATATAAAAACCATAACTCTCTGTGGAAGCCTGCATTCTCTCTAACGTCCAGCAGGGGGCGAATGTAAAGTCTGACCTCAGTAAACACAGTTTATAGTCTCAGTCTCTAGTTTTAAATATTAGTACATTAAACTTGATCTTTATTTTGTGAATCGTGGTCACATTACAAGGGAAAAGTGATGAAGCACATTTATGAGGTCTGGCTTCAAAAATCTAAGATGCCAATGGACAAGTCTTAAAAACAGGACCAGTGGGTTTATAAGATGTATAAATATAAACCGGTTTATAAAATCTGGCCTCTAGTGATGGCTGATGTATCTGGTAATGGTCATAATGTGGATGCTAAAATATGTGTACGCTGCTGGAAAAAAGATGTTATAATCCTATAGATTCATGAATCCTAACAAAACAAACGAGTCTGCATCTTTGATATTTTTGCGTCTTTACATTGTGCACACAGTTTTTTTAAACTCAGCACAACCTCAGCTGTCTCCGTACTTTATATTCAGACCTGAATATTAAGTACGGATTGATTCAGGTCTCTAGAACTTCTTTAACCCTTTGGTTTCCCCCTGGTGAGTGTTTGCTGTGTGCTTTGCAGATGGACATCATCAGCCTGTTTCCTTTGGAGGTATTTTACTACTTCACTGGAGTCAACTCTCTGCTGAGGTTCCCTCGCCTGCTGAAGGTCAGAAGGTTTTTCTGCTTTGTTCACAGCTGATCTTTGTGGTCGGGATGAACGGCTGACCTCTGTTTTCCTCTCTCAGTACATGGTTTTCTCTGAGTTCAACGACAGAATGGAATCTGTGATGAAGAAAGCGTACATCTATAGGTGAGAAGGTCTCCAGCCTCACTCTCCACTGTTTGTCCTGGACATAACATCACTCAGGATCACTGTTCAGGTTGGAGGTGTGAAGGTGAAAATGTAAAGAAAATGTTTTAAAGACCTCATTACCGGCAGTGTTGGTCAAGTTACTTGAAAAAAGTAATCAGTAACTAATTACTGATTACTTCCCCCAAAAAGTAATCCCGTTACTTTACTGATTGCTTATTTTCAAAAGTAATTAATTACTTAGTTACTTCTTAAAAACACGATTTACACCCTGAATAGGT